GAATCTTAAAATCCACTGTTTATACCACATTTTCAGACCCCTAGACCGTATTCTTTGAAGAGCGCCGCCAACGTTACAAACCATAACGAGGCTACCACCTTCGCTATTCAACAATGCGAAGGCGGCAGCCTCGTTTTGGATCATGTGAGTCTACCGTTTAGAGCGCCACCTACGTTCGAAGATGGACAGTTTCATCAAAAAACACACTAGTCCAAGAAAGCTATTTTTTTATTCCGTGGAAATTTTCGATTTTTTAAACCATAGCCTGGTTTGTGAGGTAATTTCCTCTGCAAAAAGCATCATTTTGTTGGGTGAAATACTTGTAAAGGTGAGATTTTCGAGATTTTGTGATATCTACTCCCAAGTGTTCATTCAAGCATAACAAATGCGGCGTCTTCCACATGGCTGGAAGCAGTTCATTGTTCGGGCAAGATTTTAACAAAGGAATCGAACAAAAAGACGTGGTCTCTTTTACAGCCGTCCATCTATGCGGCCCGCTTATACTGCTGGTTATGTTTTTAGGCTCGTCTCCAGCTGAGGAACATGTCCCTGTAGCCCTCAACTGAACTCCACAATACTTGCATTTCAACAAGGTACCGTGGTGTACTCGAACATGGTGATATTAAAGCTTGTGAATTGTCACTTTGTTTTTCTTCCTCAATTCCATTAAAGTGTCTCTTTTGTGCAACACTATTTACTCCAAGGGGATACTGACTTACGTTAGAAATACAGAAGTAATAATCACGAATCAAATAAGTTGGGCACAATTTCGAGCAGCCATTTTGGTCTGAAAGCATAGTTTGAATCATGATCCATTTCGAGTTTTGTTTTGCAGTCCTTAAAAACCATAAGTTCCTGACTCAGGCTAAGTTGACATTTTCAGAGGGCCGGGGTGTCGTTGAAGATGGAAATTGCTAATTTTTTCTCTAAAATTAAAACAAGTCTTCTCCTTCCGAATTTTGAAGTTGTTTCTTCTAAAATAACAAATCTGAAATGCAACCTCTGAACCTAAAAAATGTTCCTGTTACTGTGAAACCCATGACAGCATGAGATAAACCAACTGACGAGACAATGGACGTCAAACAGATCCTTTTTCCTCTTTTTATTTATCAATTATGCACGCTGGCCATATCCATCCGGGAGGAATCATCACTGTGGTTGCAAACTAATGCCACATTCTTAAGCACACCAAGAAATCAAATATCTGGCGGAAATCGAGTGACGACCCTACACTGGAGCCAATTCTGTTAAGTGTTTAAAGAATGCTAACAAATCCGAGTTCGGATAAATTTTGGTCAAATGGTAATGCAAAAATTGTTTTCTTCCTCTTCGTTCAGCATGAGCTGTGGTTGGCG